TGTTCTTTGCAGCGTGTTGGTGTTGCACTGTCAGAATTGTATCAGTGGTGTTGTAAAATGTATACTCAGTGGATCAAATAAACACTGCCAGCTGTTTCTTTGGCTTTTGACCATCCTGTGGTAGGTGTTCTGATACCACCAGCAGGACAGGACAGCTTATAGGATCACCTATGTGACTGGAAGACCGCATATACGTAGTGATGAATGATGGGCAGCCTGAGAAGGTAATTGTCTTTGAAATGATATTTCTTGCTATTCTAATCACTGACTTGTTAAGAAATTATATAACATATTATTTGTGTACTAAAAGAATATTCACTGGTGCGTGAGAAAGTTCCATTTTTCTTTCTTCAATACGATTCTGGAGGGATCGCCCGTGGGACTGGAGGACCGATGGATTATCTGCAGGACCGGAGTTCTGCCTGCTTCTCCGATAGAACGACGATATCGAGAATGTCAAGAAACGAGAAGTGATGAATAATGATCAGCATCAGAAGGTATTTGTCATTGAAGTATGTCTTGCAACACTATTCACTGAGACCTAAGTTCCTTAATTATTAGGACATTATTTAACTCATGCTAACTATAAAATTAGAATACCCATCGATGAGTCAGGTTTCACCGTGAAATGCCGTAAAACACCTACTCAAACATTTAATCAATCTTTGACACATTATACCCAACCAATCAATCAATCAATCAATCAATCAATTAATCAATCTTTGACACATTGTTTTCATCACCAGGACTGCCTACAGCACCGGTTCATCGCCTACAGCACCAGAAGATTGTCCATATCCACTGTATCGAGAAACAAGAAGTGTTGTAGGATGATATGCCCTAGAAGGTATTTGTCTTTGAAAGATATCTTGGCCTATTTAGACGTTTAAAAAACAATTAGAATACCCAATACTAGGTCAAATTGAAAGTTTCATTTTTACGTTTAGGTTTCTCACAAAAACTTCCCCTGGACTTCTAACGGCTCCTGAAAAAAGACAAATGTTGCTTGTAATTGACGTAATTCAAACGTAAATAATTGAAGATGTTTGCTTCAGTGTTGTTTCAAGGTTGTACTTCTTTTTTCCGCCTGCAATTGTCATGTCTTTCTTTTCACACTAGCATAGGTATACTGGTACTGTAATCTTTTTAATAGATTAAAAGGTGGACACAATGAAAGGTTTATACATTTCTTCGAAGAAAAAAAACAACTTTCTTTCTGTGTCACATGCTGCATTTTTTACCACTTAGCTCATGTTAATAGAATGTGTTGTATTTAAATAATCAAGTATGAAATAATTTAAATGCTTCAACATGAAAGTGCTTAACTCAACATTTAATAATTCAAACTGATTTCACTTTCAATTTATTTTTCTCAGATTACTGTCCCTCATCGGACTTTTCGGCAAGAAGTCACTGGTATTATCAGTAAGTCTACCACAGAAGGTCGAAGATCAAATAAACAACTGGTTGTGTTTGTTTGATCCATTTTTTGAGTATACATGTGACAGCATCATTGAAATAGTAATGGCAGTGCAGAACCAACAAGCTAGTATGCAAAATTTACTTCCAACACTGAAGCTCAAAATTATTAAGCTGCTCCTCCCACCCAATTCTACTTCTGTCACCCTCTCCCCCCTTTAAAAGACCCCTACTTACACTGCTGTGGCCAAGTAAAGATAGGTTGATAGGGAGCTAGGTGGGTAGGCTAGGATCAGAGTAGGATTTTGTAGATAGTATTGCCATGGCCATGGCAGGAGAGAATTGAGGGGGCAGTGTATGTTGGTTTTTTGTTGGGTTTTTTTTTTTTTTTGGGGGATGAGTGAGGCGGCAGGAGAAGATGGAGTCTTTTCATGGAGGAAGGGGGTGGAAGAAGTAGAACAGGCTGGGAAGAGCTACTTGCAGATATTCAACTTGAGTGTTAGAAGTGACTTTTGTATACTGGATTGTTCTTTGCAGTGTGTTGATGCTCCACTGTCAGAATTGTATCAGTGGTGTTGTAAAATGTATACTCAGTGGATCAAACACTGCCAGCTGTTCCTTTGGCTTTTGGTCATCCTGTGGTAGGTGTTCTGAAACCTCCAGTTTGGGCAGTCTGAGAAGGTAATTGTCTTTGAAGGGTGTCTTGCGCTCTACTCACTAACGTAAGACATATGTAACTTATGGTTTCTATTGTAAAAAAAAGTATCATTGGTGGGTCGATAGTTTCATTTTTGCATTTAGATGTTTCTGAAAACTGCTCCTTACCATTTACAAGTCCTGAAAATATACTTAAGAATTATACTTTTGTTATGATTAATGTGATTCAAATCAAAACAGTACGTAATATTGCTATCTACAGTTTCTCTGTCTTTTAAAAAAAAAGAAAATTGTTTACATTTACACTGACGGTTCTGGCTTTAAATATTTTTGCATTAAGGCTTCTCTAAAATACCTGTACTTGTCATATTATTAGTAACCCACCTTAAACTTCGCTGTACCACCTATATTGAACTGTAAGTATCTCAGGACTTTCTTTTCCGTTTTCATTACTAGGAGTTCCAACAAACCTGGAGGATTATCTGTAAGACTGGAGGACCAGAGGACCGTCAGCAAGACCGAGAAATGCCTGCCGTACTGGAGGACCATCAGCAAGAGCAGAATGCGACGTTCAAGACTGGAGTTGAAAGCTTTTTTTAGTGCTACGAAATAGATACTTATTCAAAAGCTTGTTTACCGTTTACCATGAAAAAAAACCCATGCTTCAATAGCCAATGTGAATATACTCTTCAGTTCTACTTTCTCTTACCCCTTTAGACCACATATTCTTGGCATAGCGCCGAAGGCTCATTGTTGACCAGCTAGACCTTTTTTCAAATCTTCTTTGTTCACACATTAAAACGTGTAACTCCAACCCCACGTTATTCACCCTGCAGAAACCATATATAATTGCAATATTGCATCATAAATGTTTCAATAACAAAGCCCCCTCATATCTTAGCGATCTCATCTAGATTTATGTTCCACCTAGATCACAAAGATTAGGCGAGAAAAGGAGGAGGTAAAAAATTCGCTGAAAGATCGTTTACCCACCTTGTTCGATCAGTTTGGAACTCTCTTCCTCTCCCATTGAGTCATACAACACCTGAGTCAGAAGTTAAAATTAAAAGGCATATCATTTTTAGGTTAGTAGGTTCATGCTCAGTACAATGTTATGTAAATGACTATGTATCCAGTTGTGTGTTTTGCGAATTGCATTGTGTATAATACGATTTTATGTATTTGTATGTAATCATTTCGTAACCATGTGCGGGCGTGCGCATGTGATAAGTAGGTTGTGTGTGTGTGTGTGTGTGTGTGTGTGTGTGTGTGTGTGTGTGTGTGCGTGTGTGTGCGTGAATATTGTTCGAACATGCATTTACATAAAGCGCCTAGAGCTGTGTTCACACGGGAGTGGGCGCTATAAAAATGATCTATATTTATTATTATTCTGACATAGTTCCAACCCCACATTGTTGAACCTTTGGAACTTGCATCTTGAGTTAGTGCCAACCCCACGTTGCTGACTCTTTAAAACTTGTATCTTGACTTAGTTTCAACCCCACGTTATTGACCCTTTAAAACCAACATATTTTGACTTAGCTCCAACCCCACGTTATTAACCCTTTAGAACCCATATATTTTGACTTGGCTCCAACCCCACGTTATTGACCCTTTAAAGCGTGTTTCTTGAATTAGTTCCAATCCCACGTTATTATTATTATTAAAAATTGTGTCGATAGTGCCGTAAAACATCTACTCTACTCGATCAACCACGTTATTAGCCCTTTAAAAGTTGTATCTTGACTAACTCCAACCCTACGTTTTTCACCCTTTAAAACCCATATAAAATTGTAATATACCATAAATGTTTGAATGACAAAGCCCCCTCATATCTTAGTGATCTCATCCAGATTTAAATTCCACCTAGATCACAAAGATAAGGCGAGAAAAGTTGGTAAAAAATTCGCTGAAAGAGTGTTTGCCCACCTTGTTCCATCAGTTTGGAACTCTTTTCCTCACCCATTGAGTCATACAACTCCTGCGTCTAAAGTTAAAATATCTTTAGACATCAATTTTTATGTTAGTAGATTCATGCTCAGTACAATCTTATGTAAATGACTGTGTATCCATTAGTGTGTTTTATGAATTGCATTGTGTATAATATGATTTTATGTTTGTATGTGCTCATTTCGTAACGATGTGTGGGCGCGCGCATGTAATAAGTAGGTGTGCGTGTGCGTGAGTGTGTGTGTGCGTGCGTGCGTGTACATATTGTTCGTGCATGCATTTACGTAAAGCGCATAGAGCTGAGTCTACACAGGAGTGGGCGCTATAAAAATGATCTATATTTATTATTATTCTGACTTAGTTCCAACCCCATATAGTTGACCTTTAGGAACTTGCATCTTGACTTAGTGCCAACCCCACGTTATTGACCCTTTAGAACCCATATATTTTGACTTAGCTCCAACCCCACGTTGTTGACTCTGGAGAACCCGCATCATGATTTAGCCCAAACCCCATTATCTTGACCTTTTGGAACTTGCATATTGACTTAGCTCCAACCCCCACGTTGGTGACTCTGTAGAACGCATATCTTCAATTAGCTCTAACCCCACCTTTACTTAGCTCCAACCCCCACGTTGGTGACTCTGTAGAACGCATATCTTCAATTAGCTCTAACCCCACCTTTACTTAGCTCCAACCCCCACGTTGGTGACTCTGTAGAACGCATATCTTCAATTAGCTCTAACCCCACCTTTACTTAGCTCCAATCCCATGCTGTTGACCACTTCGAACTTGTATCGTGACTTAGCTCCAACTCCTTGTTATCGACCTTTTGGAACTCGTATCAAATTTATGTATACACATACTGAACTGCCAATATGTTTTTCTGTCCATAAGTTAAAAAACAGTTTAAGAATTCGAAAAACTGAAATTTTCTTATATTTGGACAATCATCATAATCTTTTTTTGTGCCTTTCCTTTGAGCTGCAGGAGAGCTTTCAGAATTCTGGGTACAAAATTGAAACTGCGCAAAATCTCCTTTCGTACATAAAGCTGAAATATATGTATAATATTTAATAAATTTATAGTATGGAATCTATCCTACTGGTCTTTTTTTTTTTTTTTGTACGTTTGATTGGTAAGGTATTCATGTTTATTCTCTTTTCATCGCGGGTGTTTGTTGGGCGCTTCTTGAGGGTCCTTCTTTTCTTTCCCACTGCTATTTGTCTGCTACCTGTCTTACTTTTCATCTGCTCTAAAAGGCCATTGTATTTCAAAGTGTTTCATGATTCTCCTACCAAAAACGTGAAAGTCATGTTTTCCTTATCATCATCATATTTACTGTATACTGGTAGTTTTCTTTTTCAACTATCTCTTCTTCACTATTTCTTGGCTAATTGCCCATTTGTTTGAGCATTTTGTACTTTGATGTCATATTTATGGGTTCATCTTCGTCTTGTTTTCTTTACTCATGCTTTCATGCTAGATAAGATTACTAGAGTTTGTGGTACAGAAGTCAAGTCTCTTTGCCGTGGCAAACAGAGGACTTGAATTTGATGTCAGAATGGGAAGGACTTTAAAAAAAAAATCTTGTACGTATATCTGTCTGCCTGCTGGGGTGTTGTATCATTCTCTGCCCTGGTCAGACAAGCGTCCGGACCAAAGCAGTATTTTCCACAAATGACCAAAGCCGAGTACCACACGCGGAAGACCTGAGTTTGATTCCCAAATGGGGAGAGTTTTCGTCCCATATCTCGATCTTTCTGCTAGGACATCGTATCCCTCTCAAACCGAGTCTTCCCTGGCAGACAGGAACAAATCTCGTCTCCGAAATTATTTAAGGGGGTGTGTCCCGATTTGGCTCAAATTAATGGAATTTGAGTTGTAGGCATTTTAGCTTCCTCAGCCTCTCCTGCGACTATTTCATCGCAAAGAACCCAAAAACCCTAATTTCGTCCCATACCGGGCATGTTTGCCACCATCATTTCCTCATAAAGTCAATATTTTATTTTTCTTTATCGGCCGTTTTCTCAAAACACGACTTTTCTCTAAACTTTTAAAAATAACCCCACCATTTTTCATCCAATCTTTATGAAATTTTCACAGAATGGAAGAGATGTAATACTAAACATTTGTCAGTTGAAATTATGTATGCAATAAGATTTTTGTTGGTGGTGTCTTGAGTGTGGATTTTCACGATTTTTTTGCAAACTTGAATACTACCTCAGGAAAATTCATTAAAAAATGTTCTAATATGTTTAGGAAAAAACCCCAGAAATTTTCTAGATCTCATGTTTGAGAACACGCATGCAAAAAAAACAACAAAAAACAATCAATTTCCACGAGCAGTAAGCAAGGTATTCATTACGTAAGACATGTCAACAAAATCCAATATGGCCACCGCATCCATGGAAACGAAACTTTTTTCTCAAGTTTGATTGCATATTTTAAGACTTGTTTTAAGTGTGAAATGCGGTAAAAATTCGGTCCTCTAATAAGCGAGATATCCTTCAGGTGTAGCCTCCCCCTCCCCCCCCCCCTTAAACTGAATTGATTTGGGACGGGGGGGGGGGGGGCAAAACGCCAACAGAAAAAGCAACAATTTTAGTCCTAGTTGGTAGGGTTAATCAAGCTCAATCAAAATAACTCATCGTCAGATCCTCCCAATGACTTCCGGGGTCAAATTTTATGTGTAAACAAAGCGTGTGCGGAATAGGGCACTTTCTTTGAAAATGAACAGTGGAATCTGTCAGTTCGATGAATGACAAACTGGTAGACGGTGCTGCGTTCAGCTCATTTGATGAGCTTAGACTTGTTTCAACGATACAAACCAAGCTTCCTAAACTTTGAAGAGATACACAAGCAATTTGTAGTGAGACAATAGGCTTTCCACAAAGTTTTAGCATAGGTCTAAATCAAATTTTGTTTGTTTGGGTTTGGGTTTTTTTAACAACAGTCCATTCAAGACTACCATGTAAGGATTTTAATCGGGCAGCCCTCCTTGCAGGAATAAAACAATGTTTCAGTTTGTTTTCGCAAAGACGATCCCATTGACACAATAATAATAAGAAAGTTGTTAGGGGACTGTATAGCGCTACCCACGGGGGGACTGCAAAGAAACAATCTTTGAACTTTGGATCGAGGTCAACAAGGCATCATCAGACAGATCTAGATCCTGCTGATACATAATATCTAAATCTAGTTTAGTTAATTAGTTTGGTGGGAGAATCAAGAACTAGAGCCAAACACTTTTTTTTAAGGCGAATGTATCATTTAGATCGACAGGTTTGTTGATCTATCTAGGTCTAGATTTTCTATCTAGATTCTAGATCTAGATCTAGTAGTACTTATGATATAGACTGTCCACGACACTAAGCTGCAGTCTGTGCCTATAATAGCTAGGCTTAGATCTAGATCGAGTAGTAGGCCTAGTATTCGTACTACCAAAGATTCTCTACTTCCAAGGTATTGCAATCCTTCTTTGGGCTTTTTGTCCCACGCCCAGTGGGTCGCGCTAGAGGACTGCACAGTCCCATAACAACTTCCATAATAATATTACAACCGGTTTCCACGTCACCCGTTATTTTTTTTTCAATATTGTAATGGTCCTGTCCAAGATGTCTACTAGTCTAAAACAACAGCTTTTCCCCTTGTCAATAAGAAGGCCGTTTGGGCAGTATCAACTGTATGTTGTCAGCACATGTATAATCTGACCCCTGAACGTGTTTCTTTCTTTGTCCACCCACTTATCGAAGAGGGGAATCCACTGGAAATTCCCTTATTTGCACTACGTCATTCTCCACTTCACCCCATCTCGCATACTACCCTATTCCCTACACCTTCCCTGTATAGTACTTAGATGAATAGCTGGTTTATCTTAAACGTTCACAATATTTTCTCAAATTGGCGTTGATTGGCAATGGTGTTTGACTACACAACATCCCATCTTCCATGAACCCCTGATGCTGCACATTCTGTTTGGCATCGGTTCCTCAAATGAGACAGAATATTACGCTGGTCTTATTGGTGGGCAGTTATGCCTGGTTGGCTACTTTATATTTTCTAATTTCAACAATATCGACAGTGGGTTTTTTCCGTTCAGCCAGCTTTGAAGGTGTTCTGAGGCTGCAGCTGAAGAAAAGAGAGAGAGAGAGAGAGAGAGAGAGAGAGAGAGAGAGAGAGAGAGAGAGAGAGAGAGAGAGAGAGAGAGAGAGAGAGAAGAGAAGAGAAGAGGGGGTAGAAGATATGGAGCGCACCATAATAATGGAGATATGTTCTGGTTTTGTTAAAGCTTTATTTTGCATTACATTGCACCGTTATATTATTATGCATATATTTTGTGCTGCATGTATCTCTATAAAAAGGTATTTATGAAACTAAACAAAGGATTTCCTTTCCAGCTTCTCTTTCTCTAGTTCTCCTTTCCCCCTGTCTCTCTCTGTGTCTCTGTCTGTCTGTCTGTCTGTCTGTCTGTCTGTCTGTCTGTCTGTCTGTCTGTCTGTCTGTCTGTCTGTCTGTCTGTCTGTCTGTCTGTCTCTCTCTCTCTCTCTCTCTCTCTCTCTCTCTCTCTCTCTCTCTCTCTCTCTCTCTCTCTCTCTCTCTCACTCTCACTCTCTTGTTCCTCTCTCGATCATTCTCTTTTTCGATTTTTGAGTGTCATCTCTGGCACGGTTTAAATTTTGATCCTTATTTCCCAGTGTTGCCCTGAATAGAAACCAAATGAATACATACATGATATTTTGATATATTGCACTAGTTGCTATAGTAATCATAGAACCATTGTAAGACTAAATCTAATTATAAAAATCACATAATCACTTAACATTGTTTGCTAACCACAAGCATGAAAATGCAAAGAGCCCTCTGAAGAAGTAGAAGTATAAATAATTCATACAATGTATAAATAGTAATATCTCGTATTTTATAGACAGTTTCTCATATTAAAACGAAAGAAACACGGTATGCGGAATGGCGTGAAGAATGGCCTAGTAAGCATATTATAATAAATAATGACAACATTAAACAATCTTCATCCTCATACGAGCTTGGCGTCCTTAGCGAGCTGGAAGAACATGGAATCTGGCCGAGCCAACAGCTTGCTGGGAGCGTCGAACTCTGCAATTTTACCCTGGTCAAGCACCATCACTCTAGAAAAAACAAAAAAACGAAGGTTTCTATAGATCTATAATTGATCGGTCACGTCTAAAAAGAATGTAATGCAACGTCCACTTATTCTTTCCTCAGGATTTCTTAAACGGAAGTACAGAGAACCACAAACAAAGCCACAACCACACACACAATCTGTCTGTCTGTCTGTTTCTCTGTCTGTCTGTCGGTTTGTCTGTCGGTCTGCCTGTCTGTCTCTGTCACTCGCTCTCTTTTTCTCTTTTCGCTCTCTCTCTCTCTCTCTCTCTCTCTCTCTCTCTCTCTCTCTCTCTCTCTCCCTCCCTCTCTCCCTCTCTCTCTCTCTCAAACAGAGACAAACACCCAACTAGTTACACACACACACACACACAACCACACACACACACACACACACACACACACATACACACACATGCACTTACACACAGACACAAACGCACTTACACACATATACACACACAGTCACTTACACACCGCACTTACACACAGACACACACGCACTTACACACACAGACACAGACACACACACACACACACACTCACACACACACATACACACTCACACACACACATACACACACACACACACACACACACACACACACTTACACACAGACACTCACACACAAACAAATACACACACTCACACAACATCCCTCACCCATCCTCACCCTCTCACAGTAGCATTTCATCCCCCCCCTCCCCACCCCCACCCCCACCCCCACCCTTCACACCTGTCGTAGTCGAGCACTGTGTCCAGCCTATGTGCTATCGAGATGACCGTGCACTGGTTGAACTCTGACCTCAGCGTGGCCTGGATCAGCTGGTCTGTCTCTGTGTCCACTGCCGCCGTGGCTTCGTCCAGCACCAGGAATCGGCTATGACGTAACAGGCACCTGGCTAGACATACCAACTGGCGTTGGCCAACGCTGACGACGAACATAAAAATGGATAATTTTGAGTGACATCATGGTGAAATTCAAGCACTCGTCCCCTCAAAAAATCTTCTTTTTTTAAAAATAGAAGTATTAGAAGAACCCTACATTTTTCCAGCAGTTTGGATTTTAAAAATCTTTTTATTTAAAGGACATTTGTCCATTTAAAAGACACATTTCTCTGTGGATTTATTGATGGATATTTTATTATCAACCCATAATTATTATGTTTAACTGATTTATTGACACAATGAAACATTAGATAATTTATCTAAGTTGCAAATAGCATCCTGAATTTTGAAATAAATATCTTTAGGAAACTAAACCCATACAAAGTTTTTAAAACCAATCGATCCTTCATTCATTCAATAAATTGGCTATGAAGCTGCGCATCTGGTTTATCTATCTATCTGTCTGTCTGTCTGTCTGTCTGTCTGTCTGTCTGTCTGTCTGTCTGTCTGTCTGGCTGTCCGTCTGTCTGTCTGTCTATTTTTTTAAACATTAAAAACCAAGCCAGGGCTAAAACTAATCAATCAAGTTAAATCACAATGAAATGTGAACCCTACTCACCTGAGATGTTTCCCCGAGTCCCCACAGTCATAATCTAGACTATCGGGCAAACTCTCCACAAAAGACTTGAGGTGGGCGTGTTCTAGAGCGTCCCACAGCTCCTCCGACGATTTCTCCCCAAAAGGGTCAAGGTTCGCACGTAAGGTTCCCGCGAACACGACAGGGTCCTGAAAAGATTAAGTTGGTATATTCACGATTCATTTTTTTTTTACTGCCTTTGATATTTTTATGAAGAAGTGGTTACCGCCAAGACAGTCCTTTTCTCCCTCGGCATTAGTCATTATCATTTTCATCATCTTCAACAGTAGTGGTTACTACCACAATCACCACAACCTACATTATTATAATCATCATTATTATTATCATCATTTTCAGCAGTCAGCAGCAGAAATACCACCACCAGCAGCAGCAACAGCAGCAACAGCAACAACAGCAGCAACAGCAGCAACAGCAGCAGCATCAGTGGCAGCAGTAACAGCATACCAATAAAGGGTATATTTTATGCAATATGTGACAAGACTCGTCAAAGCTTGATTTATTTTTAGTGCAGGTGTTTTTAAGCCCCCATCGACACAATTTAGCCCATTTTAGAGTGGTGAAGGGCTGAGAGGAATAACAATCCCAACAGAAAAAGAGAGATCCTCGGTAAAAAAATTGATGTCTCCCCACTCGAAAATCGAACGTTTGTCTCCTGCGTGCAACAACGAGGCACGTCCTAACTGCTACACCACAGACGCCGATCATTGGTGCTTATTATGTCGTTTAATGATGTATAATACTATGTACATGTATATAAATTCCAAGTAAGCACATAGCCACAGTGCGCTTAAATATCAATAATACTATTATCATTGATTACCTGAGGGAGAATTGTCAGGTTCCTGCGTAGGTCATGTAGTCCTAGGCTTCTCGTATCCTGCTCTGACACTTTGATCTGACCGCTCGCAGCCTCAATGATGCGGAACAGAGCCAGAGCTAGAGATGACTTGCCTGCGCCTGTTCTTCCTACGACTCCAATCTGAAAAAAAATACGAACTTGGGTTAACTGAATAAAGACCAGAAATTCTAGAAAGTAAATAAAAAGACAACGAGTGAGAGAGAGAGAGAGAGAGAGA